CTTTTCCTGTTCCTCATTTTACTTACAGTCCAGATTTATAATCCTTATTATTTTTCGTAACTTAACTAATTTTCAGTTTATATCCCTCACATCTGTCTCCTTTCTACTTAACTGCTGGTGAGTTAGTTCCCACTCTGAGCAATCCATAACAAAAGAATACCCTACCCAATGCTTTACCATCTTTACATGCTCTGCTGTACTTAATAAGCCCATTATTACAGTCACTGGGTCAATCCATTTCAGTGAGGGTTTTCCTCCTCTCCTTCACTAACCAGCTACATTTCCAAACACAATTTCCTTTTCAAAAGACGAGTCCTTCCTGCCAGAAGTATGTGTGAAATGAAGTTTCATCATGGTGTATTTCATATTCCCTGCCAACACCATAATTTAAAGACAATTCTTCTCTGGCTTTCCTTAGTCATTGTTTGACTTTCATGTGCATACGAAGCAACTGCAAATACCGTGGCTCAGGTGAGGTACACTTCTGTCTTCAAAATGACATTCTTGGTCTTTAGCATTTTATTTCCCTGGCAGATTTTCCTGACTGTAACACACTGGGAAATGTGCTCCCAATGAAAGTCTTTTGTTTTCTTGACTGCTGCTCCTGTGGGTATTGACTGTGACTCCATGTAAAATGAAATTCGTGACAATGTTCCCTATTGGTCCAATGGTGAGAGAGTACAGAGCTGTTGCACATAGGGTCGCTATGACTTACCTGTAAGCAACCTGGCAGCACATAACAACAACAAACCACACTGAAGGCTGCAGTCTTTGATAAACTTTAGCAACAAGTGTTTGTCCTTATCAACTCTCTGTAAGTAAGGCTGTGTCATCTGCACAATGCGGCTGTTTATGAATCTTCCTCTAATCCTGCTGCAACAGTCTTCTTCGTGTAGTTTGGCTTCTTCGATTATCTGCTCAGTATATAGGTTATAAAATAAAAGTATCCTAAACTAACCCCTTGCCTTTTTCTTAATCTTTCTTCTCTCATAATTCATTTTATACAAAATCACTGATTGATGTTCTTGAATTACGTACTCTCACATAATTCTTCCACTTAAAACTTGTCTTTTTTTCACTAGAGATAGAGCTCCTTGGGCCTGTATTGAAGATTCCACATTATGCTCCTATGTAGGGACCATTCTTTTTTTTTTTATATTAAATTTTATTAGTTTTAATGAACATTTAGAGATTTTGGGTTTTCATTCATTCATTGTTGCACTGTTTTCTCCACCCTCATCCCCAGTTCGTTCTTCTCCCCACCCCCATGTCTGTTTTAACTGTCCAATTGCCACAGTGCTTGTCAAAGCCAGTTCTGATTAATCTCCTTTGTCAGTGTGTCCC